AGCACACCCATTATAGGGGCTATGGAAAAATAGGTTATTGTGGCACACCCATTATAGGGGCTATGAAACAAAAGGGTATGGTGGCACACCCATTATAGGGGCTATGGAACAATAGGGTATGGTGGCACAACCGCTATAGGGGCTATTGAACAAAAGGGTATGATGGAAACTATTATATGAGATATAAAACAATAGGTTATGGTAGAAGGTCTATAACAAGAAGCAATATGGTATGGTGGCAAATCGATAACATGAAAGCAAAGATATTTCAATGTACCTATTAAAATATAAAAATGATATAATACTATTTGTCAGTTTGAGGATATCTCAACAGATTACCGTTGGACAACCAATATAAAACCCTGCTTCCGCTCTATTTTGATACCTTTTCAAGTTCTAATATCTTGTATTTAAATAATAAGCAGGCATATTTTATGTATTTGTTACCCTTCTCACAGACGATCATGTTAATGTGGGAGTCTCCGTGAGCTAATTGTGACTACCTCACAAAACATCATACTAGAGGTCCGTCATACGCCATCTCAGATACCGGAACTATCCAAGATACCGGAACTATTCAAGATATCGGTACTATCCAAGATACCGGAACTATCCAAGATACCGGAACTATCCATGATACCGGAACTATCCATGATACCGGATCTATCCAAGATACCGGAACTATCTATGATACCGGAACTATCCAAGATACCGGTACTATCCATGATACCGGAACTATCCAAGATACCAATACAATCCAAGATACCGGAACTATCTATGATACTGAAACTATCCAAGATACCAATACAATCCAAGATACCGGAACTATCTATGATACTGGAACTATCCAAGATACCGGAACTATCCAAGATACCGGAACTATCTATGATACCGGAACTATCCAAGATACCGGATCTATCCAAGATACCGGAACTATCTATGATACCGGAACTATCCAAGATACCGGTACTATCCATGATACCGGAACTATCCAAGATACCAATACAATCCAAGATACCGGAACTATCTATGATACTGGAACTATCCAAGATACCAATACAATCCAAGATACCGGAACTATCTATGATACTGGAACTATCCAAGATACCGGAACTATCCAAGATACCGGAACTATCTATGATACCGGAACTATCCAAGATACCGGATCTATCCAAGATACCGGAACTATCTATGATACCGGAACTATCCAAGATACCGGTACTATCCATGATACCGGAACTATCTATGATACCGGAACTATCCAAGATACCGGATCTATCCAAGATACCGGAACTATCTATGATACCGGTACTATCCAAGATACCGGATCTATCCAAGATACCGGAACTATCTATGATACCGGAACTATCCAAGATACCGGTACTATCCATGATACCGGAACTATCCAAGATACCAATACAATCCAAGATACCAATACAATCCAATATACCGGAACTATCTATGATACTGGAACTATCCAAGATACCGGAACTATCCATGATACCGTAACTATCCAAGATACCGGAACTATCCAAGATACCGGATCTATCCAAGATACCGGAACTATCCATGGGACACAACAGCTACATGTTTCAACAAACATTGCTATTGAAATATATAGCAATACACCTCCTTTATCAACTTCAGACAAAGTTATAATTATCTGATAAACAATCTATGGTCATTTATCATTCATCATCCTATGAACTCCACAAAAGATATTAAAGATTCGATCCTTCAATCCCCTTCATCACTTTATAGATTTTATCTTCGTTGCTACACTAGACAAACAGTTTGCATTGCATATTCTGATTCTATGTGCTGTTTTCGAGAACAAGGCCGCGGTGTGTTATCGGGAAATCAAAGTATGCAGAAACAAGATTGGTAATAAGATATATTACAAGATTTATCATGGCAGATTTAGGTCATACATTTCATTTTATCTACATGTAGCTCGCACGCCCGCTCGACTTTCTGTCTCCATGGGAGAGTTTAGCATAACATTCCGTGTTTTACAATGCATTACGAGTACTTCTCATTTGTATCTGTTTGCTTTCATCATTACTTTGTACTGTTCGTGGGTGTAAGGAACGATAACTCCCGTGGGAGTAAGGAATGACATCAGAATGTTACATTTGTAGGAGCGGGATGGTGTAAAAGTATCTTAATTTGAATATATGTACATAGTTTTAGCGTCTTTGAGTGCGTATTTACATGACAGCGTGTGTTAAAATTCCATCTCGATAAATGTAATAAGGTTGTGACATTAGGAACAATACTATTTTCTTATACAAAGACATATCAAAAGAAAGTAGTGAAGACGGATAATCATCTTAAATCTGATAATGATACCTAGAGAACACAACATTTTGTCCCTTAACAAAAAGGAAGGACCACATCTCAAGAGTGTGGAACAAAAGGCGTAGAAAATGGAGACTGTACCAAGAAGAGCAACAACCCATTGCCAACTAGATCCTCCCATTCTCTCGGTTATTTTTGTCAGTGGCATCTTTCAGGTTTTTACCATTGCACTCGATTTCTATTTCATTTTCTGTGTCAGTGATGACGTATAAGTTGTATGATTGCTAACAGCATTTTTATTGTTATCAATTAAATGTTACACTGCCTCAGCACACTGCTAGTTCCTTTTGACACTTGTGTAGCAGAGTCATGGCAAATCTACAATTTTTTGTGACCAGACAAACCGACGGCCATGTCATTTTCAATATAGCGAGTAACCACATATGATAACCACAGAAAGCTTACAAACGAGCGTAACTTTCAAGGAATGAAAAGTGTAACAGAAATTACTATGGACATGATAGCCAAAACTCTTCTTTGCAGGAGGTGCAATACTGAGTGGTTGGCCCGCTACCTTAATTAGATGATTCAATTTGTCCTTTTGATCTCCGTCGGATAAATACCACATCTTTTTTAATTGGTGAACACTGCCAAAGCGCATACAGATTCTGGTCGTACACGTGGCTTTATAATACAATCTGCCATACACAAAAATAAAACAAGAGGTCACCTGAGATAAGCAATATTGATAATAAAGGGAAGTTATTAAGTGTTATGAAACAGAAATTGTGATATTGATGATGGTATTGACATTGTCAATACACGCGTACCATCAAAAATGCCATCCTAAACTAACAATAATTCTTGTGAAATATTATGAGGAATAAATAAAGTTATGGTCAAAAATACTATTTTTCCATAAAAGAATACAGTAAAGTTAACCTACTCCCCAGGAAAAAAATGTGAGATCCATTTTGGTAATTAAAGCACCTTATGACGCTTCCACCCATGAGGAGTATTTCATTCTGCCATACCTGGGTGTTGAGAAGAAGACTTTTTAAATTTAGGTCAATTTGGCCCCTTTTGGAACCGACCCCTGGGGGTCTTATAGCATCAATATAGGCATATCATTAAGCCGTCATCCTTCGCTCATGATTCTGACCATGTTTGAAATATTTTCGAAGGAAATTAAACAAACTATGCTCGAAAAGCTATTTTTCTTAAAGAAACTACAGTCAATTTTACCCCCTCCCCACGGGGAAAGTGGGAGACCCTGGGGCCATAAAATTCTTAATTTTTGTAAAGCACCTTAAGATGCTTCCATCCATGAAGAGTATTTGATTCTACCATACTTTGGAAATTTGGGTCAATTTGACTCTTTTGGTCCCTGTAAGGTCGGAACCGTATATTTCACTAATTTGGTTAACCTTAGGACAGGGAGACTTTGTCAAAGGTGACCGAAGAAGCGTCCATGAACTTTAATGAAAATACCTAATAATGTGCTATTTGTAATACTGTTCCAAAATGCAATACTGAATGATAGATAATTGAATATGGAAATTTCCGTGTTAGAGTTACATTTCGGTCAATAGCTTGAATTATAAGGCACATCTTAAAATATCTGTGGTGAGATTAAGTAGAATAGACACTAAATCCAAAACGGAATACTGTCATGACCAGATATTCTTGAAGATTTTTGAGAAATCTGTTATGCTTATCTTGCCTTCGAGATGGACAATCGCCGCCATATCTGCATGAGCAAACCAAATTACGAACGATGTAAACCTTATACTTTGGACCCTTATCAATGACAAATTTGATATGGTGCAATTATTATGATTTTGACCAAATTCCCTTTCCGCTGAAAAACTTTTGACATGAAAATTGGATATATTCTAAGGCGACTTCAAAAACTTGCCTAATAACCTTGTCACATTATCAAGGTAGGATAAAACTCAATCAACAGTCAGAGTTCAGTTTTCAGAAATCCCGTCAAGGACTATATTAACAGGCATACGGCAAAACCAATGCGAGGATCTATCAGAGTCATAACCCATTCAATACATACTTCAATATAATTATTTAAGTTTACTGAAATAGGTTACACTTAGCACAACGATTAAAGGATATGTGGCCAATAAACTGTGATTATCATTATGGATATTAATTTTTCTTTACTTGCATTTTCAAATTAACTTGCTAATCCGTTGTATTTAAAAAAATACTTATTATCAAGGTAAATGCCACTTGTTTACAAAGAAACATTTTTTTCATTGTCATGTTGGATTAAGTTGGAAGCAAACTGAAAACTTTGGAATTTGTCATCGCTGTTTTATATTTGTTATATAAGATATGTAGATATATGGATCTCTTTCGGTCGTGAAATAGTAATTACCTCTCTATTACTTAGGTCTCTAACGCCATACATATATATTGTTAAGCCAATTCCTTTCGATTGATACAATTCAAGCTCCTACGTTCATACGTTTGTATCTTGACTTCAGTAACACACGTAGGGACTAATCTAGAGACTTAAATGTGATGTAGTAAAAAAACGATATAGGTCTCTGCTTATACCGATCTTTCATTTAATAAACGTTATGAAGTTACGCCCCTTACTTTAGAGCTCTTCACGGTTTGAAAATAATTTTAGTAATCACTTCCGTGTGTCGAAATTTAGACGTGGCTATCAGTATTTATCGCATTTCCAACAATACAAGAATCAATAACTCTATGATCAGGTTATAAAATGGTTAGAGTAGTATTTCTTCACCCAGACTTAGGAATAGGAGGGGCGGAAAGAGCCGTTATTGATGCTGCGCTCAGCTTGAAATCACGAAATCATGCTGTTCACTTCGTGACGGCACATCATGACAAATCGCATTGCTTCCAGGAGACCAAAGATGGCAGTTTAAATGTAACCGCAGTTGGTGACTGGTTACCACGTAGTATCTTTGGGAAATGCTATGCATTGTGTGCATATCTACGGATGATTTATGCCGCTGTCTACCTAGTATTCTTTAGTTCAGTGGAATATGACCTTATATTTTGTGATCAAATCTCTGCATGTATTCCTGTACTCAAATTCTCCAAAGCAAAGATTATATTTTATTGTCATTTTCCTGACATGTTGCTGACACAAAGAAAGGGCGTTTTGAAGAGACTGTATAGGGCTCCGATAGATTGGTTGGAGGAAAGAACTACTGGAATGGCAGACTGTGTGTTGGTAAACAGCAAATTTACAGGTATATCTCCTGTATGAAGTTGTTAGACATAATAAATATCTTTATGAAGTGACGACATTTTGAGATTATGATACAATGCTGATTTTGAAGTTCAAGATAAGTTCATAATATCTACAGAACTGTAACTTATTTTGGTACCGCTGAAATAACATTCAAACACTGGAATCCTATGTCAGAGACTTAATAGCTACCTTAATAGTAATCATATCTTTACAAGCGCAAGTACATTATTTAGCAGAAGCGTAGTCTAAGTGCCCCTAGTTGTGCTACAAATGATGCTGACAATGTAATAAGTCTAAAAAATATTTCATTCTGTAAAATTTTAGCAAAATAACCTGATTAGAGACACTATCGAAGTTAACATTTACTCTGGGTCCAGCGTCCAAATCCTTCAGTCATGGTGAGGTCAACGTATTGTATGCATGTATCGACACAGAATTCTTTGTTACCCTGATATCTGAAAATTATTTGAAAGGTGATATTTGTTTCATTGCAGCTGGAATCTTTAAGGAGACATTCACATCACTTGTAAAGTTAACTCCAGAGGTGCTATATCCAATACCAGATTTCTCTGCATTAGATAAGCCAGCACCCCCACCTACAAGTGACCTTCTGCCTCCAAATGTATCCACAGTCTTTCTCTCAATAAACAGATATGAAAGAAAGAAGAATCTTTCTCTGGCTATTGATGCTCTGGGTAAGAAATACATAGGAAAATTGTAGACAAAACATATGAATAATCAGTCACAACTTGAAAATCAATTACCTCTCATGTACTGAACTTTAAGCATCTTGCATAAATGTGCCAGGAACTTGATAGCAGTATGTACTATGTCAATCTATTAGTTTAATCAAGAGCTAGTCTGTATTCCTTATTTTCATTAACATGTTCTAAGTTCTGGTTTGCATGAAAGTGAAAAAGGGCCCCACTATGTGGCTTGAAAGCCTTCCCCTACCCACCCCTTATGCAAACACCTTGTTAAAGTACACTTTTGCCACAAAAGACAAGAAAGACTATTAACATACTAACTTGTACATTCTACGATCTAATTTTTCTTATTTAAAATACCACTGACCTTGGCCTAAGAACTTGGGATATAAAAAGCAATATCCATAGCAAGGACTTTTGGTGAAGAAGCATTGTATGAAGTTTAATGGGGATTGGACAAAGCAAACTCAAGTTATCACATAGAAATTGATTTTTACTTATAGTTACTGCTACCTTTAACCTTAGGACCTGAATGGTAAGCACTTTTGGTTAAAAAGCATTGCCTCAAATTTGAGTTAGATTGGCTAAAGAAAACACAAGTTATTCCACAAAAAGAACTTTCCATTATAGCAACCCCTGTAAAGTTAACAACATCCTTCACAGTAGAACTAATTTCTTTCATATTTACGTTATAATTACTCATAGTAATCAAAATTAATACAAACATTGGAATTTATCTTTCAGCTTTTCTCAAGCAAGTCAGTGACAGAAGTCTGGATGGTGTCCATCTCATAATGGCTGGTGGATATGATGAGAGAGTCATAGAAAACAGAGAATATTACAATGAACTAAAACAACGAGCAGATGATGCTGGTATATCTGAACATGTAAGCTTCATACGCTCATTCGGTGATGCACAAAAACGGACCCTACTCCAAAACAGTAGTTGTCTCCTATACACACCTGACAGAGAACACTTTGGTATTGTACCAATAGAGGCTATGTACCTGAGATGTCCAGTGATTGCAGTTAAAAGTGGCGGCCCCTTGGAAACTGTTGGACATGAAACCACAGGATTTCTGTGTCAGCAAAATGATAAAGAATTTGCTGAAGCCATGATGCAATTTATAAGAAATAAAGACTTGCATATAAAATTGGGTGAGGCTGGTAGGAACAGAGTACTGAAACTATTTTCTTTTGAAGCCTTCACAAATCAGCTTGACAGCATCGTAGGCAAACTGTCTGCTCAGAGTCCACATCGACCCTTAACTTTATCTCTGATGTGGACAATGGCTTTTGTCTGTGTGTTAGGCCTCTTGTTGGTGTTTGTATTTTTGTGATTTTTGTTGTAATAAAATCATAATTGTCTACATTGATAAAATAACAATATGGATACCACTAGACTTGTGCAATGTAAAAATCAATTAAAAAGAAACTTGACACCAAAAGAAAAGTGAATCAAATTTACTTATTCATCATCAGAACTGTAAATGGTTTTGATATATACTATCCCTATTATAACCAAATAATAATAAACAAAGCTATTTATGTTTTTATTGTAGTCTAAATGATGGTTGGACTTGAATTGATTGTTTTGAAATAAAGGCTGACCTATAGAACTTGTAAACTTTTAATATTTCACAAGGACTTTTAAGGACTGTATCGATATCTGCAGATCATCTTAATAAATTTTATGTCAATGTTGCATTTCAAATTTGACAAATAAATAAAAAAAATCCAAAACCAGTTAACCTATCATATTTATTTTATCTACAAATGTTAAAACAGGTGTACAAAAAAAACAGACAAATATCATCCTAGCTTTGCTTTCTTCCACAACGGCTCATCATCGTCATCGTCATTTTTCTTCTCTTCTTCTGCCTCTTGAAATATCTTCACAGGTTGATTTCTAGGAAACATGATGTCATTGTCAAAATTTTTGGAAATGTTTATCATTGTTATAATGTCTATATAAACACAATTTTCATTCAAAACATTCTGATGCCAATTTGTTTTATTGTTCTATAAAAATTCTTATGCTACTTTACTTGTGCCAATGTAATAAGGTTTACTTACATATATCGCGAAAGAATGCAGGAATCTACAGAATCTTGGAGACAATCTAGGTTTTCTGCTTACTTTAAAGACCTTTCGAAAAATTTTTGTATACAAAAGTCATGATTCCATAACCTAATACAATTACATTGCCCACAGGGATTTGGCACATGTGGTAACATGTATTTTCCAATAAATCCTAAGGGGTTGAGATTTGTACCAAGTCCCTGTTTACTGACAATAGAAATGCTTCAATGATGTACCTTTTCTTTTCAAAAATGAAGTATAATTTTGTATTTGTTTTTGTTTGGTTTTAGTAATTGATAAAAATATTATGAAAAAATAAACATTTCCTGAAATACATCAACAATATTTTTACGATGGAAATATTTGATTGAAAGTTCTTACTGTTTGTATGCTGGTTCTACCCAAAACGGATTTTCTTCTGCATCTTTGGCATGTCTCAAAATGGCCTCCCTTGGATCATTTTCGTACTTGTCAGGTTTTTTCAGAACAAGATTCTGGACCACATACTGAGAAAGAGTTGCTCCCCTTTGTGCAACACGGCCACCTTCACCTATCGTACATAATAAATGGTGCTTTGAGTTTAATCATGTATTCATCATTTTTCTATCAGGTTTTATTTGTTTTAATACTTTCTCAAGTATAAGCATTTCACCAAAAATTTTTAGAGCAATATTTCTAGAAAAAAACCAAAATGTGTTACACTCAACAGTAAAGCAAATTTATGAAAACAAAAATCTGCAGGAAGACTTTACTTAATCAGTTTATCGATCAATAAAACAAAATTACCTGGTCCAGTGATGGGAAGGTCAGGTCTTCTAGATTTGACAGGGTCCTTCCTCACCCGTTCCTCTGCCTTACGAGTACTGGTTGGGCGACCCTCACGGAACATTGGCAGAGCATATGCTGAAATACGATACACACTATATGATAATGTGTATTATAGGCTGCAAGATATTCTTATCCTGTACAAATGCAGTTTAACCACATGCAGTGATGTTTGTCAAGTGCATAGCCAAGCTATTTTGAAATGTACACAGAAAAGAATGAATTAGGGGTCGCTCTCCTGGGACAAAGCCCTCCAATACTGGGAAAAAATTATGATAAATTGGCAAATGTTTACTTCATATTGTGACAATGTGTATGCAGCTGCATATTTGTGTAGAAGAAGCTACATGTCTGATTGTATCCTCACACGGAATATGCACTTAAATGTAACATTTAGTTTGTACTCAGAGAGAATATACTCACGTGTGATAATTTGTTGAGTTGTCATCACTTTTATCTGTCGACTTTTCCTTTCTGATTTCACAACACTCAACATTGCACCCCTGACATGTTACAAAATAAAATCCAAGATATTAAGATAAAAGGAACATGTCAAAGTCTGTTTCTCTCCATAAACAAATTTACATATATTTATAACTATACTGACATAAGTGTTTTTATCTGAAAATGTTGTTTCTTGAACTGTCCTACAGTTTACATATGGTGTTTCAATTCCCTTTAAATGACATGCACAATATAATTTTTATCAAAAGAATCAACCACCATAGTGCTGAAATCTCCAAAATAAGAACGTGTCAATTTCTCAAAATCTTAAATACACCAACTTTTGACTTCCTTCTTTTTAACTTTCTAATTCTGTGTCCTTAATTCTTACCTTTCTTATAGACATTATACATAATCACGTTAGAAATGTAAAATGGTTAAGGATGAAAGTTTATGGTTGTCCATATTGGATCCTGTTTTCTGAAGTATAATGAAAACTTACCGCTGACTTTTTTTGGGATCATAGAAAAGCCGGACTTGACCATCTGCACAACCAACGACCATCTGATTAAGCTTTGGATGCCACAGACAACGCACAACACTCTGTATAAAACAAACAAATACAATTTGAAACGGGACAGGATAGAACCGAGATTCATGAAAGGAAAATTACATATAGAGGCTGCTGGATCTGAGTAATTAGGCTTCAGATAAACTCTACAATTAAAGTACATATGTTGTATGAACAATAAATTAGCAATCAGGAATTTATTAATAAAGTGGTCTTTCATAAGCATGTCCCTTGTGTCTTGTTCACAGGCAGACCTGATATCAACAAATTTAGTTTTATCTGCATACAATTTCATAGCCATAAATCTCACAAAAATTTTAAGGTCTACGATTTGAATACCTCTGAAGATGTGATAGTAAATTATGGATTGATCAACAATTACTTAGATACTTGATCATAAACTTACCGAGTCAGATATTTCAAGTTCTGACAACTTTGTTAGTGTGTTTCTTTCATAAAAGAGTAATTTCCCTTTGCCTGAATTCTTCTTAACTGAGAGTCCTGTGATGACCATTTGATCATCTGGACTGAAAACACAATCTGTGCTGTAAAGAGGAAACATAATGGATTTAACAGTACAGCTAATAAAGGCTTCATATTTTCTTAAACAGATGCGTAACTTAGTATACACCAAATCAGTATAATCTTGACAAAATGTTATAAGATATCAACTTCACAGAAATTCTAACACACTACAGATGAACTACACAAAAAATCATATAGACAGACCACAACAACAGCACAACTTCCAAACTAAACTTCAATTTATTGTTCTTTATATGAAGAGAAACTATATGCTTTAAATAGTACCAAGAGGCTCATGGACATCAACGATCATCTGATTATAAAGACCCCTATATGAAAGAGGCCAAATAGGCCTAAAATAAATTGCTCAACTACTCTACAGCTTACAAAGAAGATATTGTTGGTTCATAAAAAACATTTCTGCAAATCATACTCTTGATACATTACTACAGACCTATTGCTTGTTGAAAAAGAAAGTTTAAGGTCTCAACACATTTCATCTAAGAGACCTTGATTATAGGTCATGGTCAATTATTTGAATAAATAGGTAGCCCTTCATCCACTTATGAGAAAGAACCAACATCAACAGCCTGGACCTTTTTATTATTGAGAAGAAGTGGTTTGAAGATTGACCTTTAAAAAGAGAAAAGGTCAAGCACATGAACAAAATTGGTATCCTTTTATCCCAGCATGCCACTGGCCCAGTAACAGAACCCTAAGCCTTTTGATTATTGAAAAGAATTTGTTTAAAGATTTTTCACACATGTGACCTTGAAAGTAAATAAAGGTTAATAATATAAACAAAATTAGTAGCCCTTCATCCCAGCATGCTACCGGCCCAATACCAGCACCCTGGGCCTTTTGTTTAATGAGAAGAAGTTGAATGCTAAGATTCTGCACTACGATGGACAAAACATTATGCCTCAAAAGCAATCTTATAAACTCTACCTTACAATATGTTAAAGATAATGAGAAGAAAAGATAGTCTGTGCCATCATTATTGGTCAAAGGTTTTTCATATAATATAAATACATTCAATATTTGATCTTACAATGAGAAAAAGTTGTCCAAGTCATTAACAACATTCAGTGGCTTCTTAAAATTGCGCATATCCCAAGTCTTGAGGGTATCATCTCCTGTGTAATGAGAAAAGGAACAATGGAAGTTATATACTACAACAGCTGACACCAACTGATTTTTTGAAGTCCAACATATTATATCCAAGACATTTCAGTCTCATCATTATAATCAAGTTCAAGATTAGTCTCGTTTTAATGTCTTTTGACAACATTTTGATCACCAAGTTCTTTCTGATTTTATCCTTTCTCCAATTACAATAATGTTTGTTGGTGAATGCTTTCAGTCTTGATTAGTTTTATTTACCTCCCCTTGATGCCAACATTTTCCCACAGTAGCTGAAGCAGAGACAGGATGTATCACTGCCATTCATATGACAATTTCTGTTTACTAAGGAAACATTTACCTACAAAACAAGCAAAAATCAAATTCAATTCAAGTCTCTGATAATTAGAAGTATAAACTTATTTTTTATGTAGATTGAATGTAGATTATAACTGAAATATATCTGCTGCCATTTTTCTTCTGTGTGTAATGAAACAAGGTCTTACCATGCAAATTAACAACTGAGAGAAGAATGTATATATTATCTGGTTATAAACATGCAACATGTCCGGTAATAAACCAACTCACCAATATAGAACTATCAACAAATTCTAATTCATTGTCCTTTAATCCTCCATACCTGAATTCACTAAGACACTTGTCAAATAAAATTTAGATAAATACCTCAATGCTAGAAAATAACAATATTCTTCAATAAAATGCTGATGGCAGTGTGAGAATATGAGATGAGTCTAGAAACTGAAATTGTTTTCAATACAACAAGAAGTCTGGCTAAGATTGATATGATCTATATGTTAAGTGTGTACTTTATGAAGTAAATTTGAAATAAATTAAATCTGGGGTTCATAAAATACATTGTACACAAGTTTTTTCAAGGACTGAGGTACTGATGCATGGAAAAGACAACAGCTGATTGCTATTCACTTCCCTTAGTATCTAGAGGCACTTGCTACTTAAAACAAAATAACATAGGTGATATGCCTGGAGTGATGTTCATAGTAGTTTATGGGTTGTCTCAGTATGTAGTTGCTACTTTAAGCAACAAGAAAATATCAAGGGCAGTACAAAACAAATTCTGAAATCTGTCCTGACAAATAGAATGTGTTTACAACAACAGGTGAACACTTTAATGGTACAAAACTGCAAATACATATGTACATACGAATGACTTATTGTGATCCCAGATCTGTATGGAGCCGTCTTGACAAGCTGTAGCCACCCAGCGGCCATCTTTACTGTAGGCACAAGTTGTTGGGATAGTTTTACGACCCAACTGAGTTCGAGGTTTTAGACAATGCTTGTGTTTCTTTCCTTCCATACTCACATCCCATAACCGGACAGTGCTGTAACAGGTACAGTTATGTAGTATTGAATAATATTGAGTAATCAATGAATACATCTTTGAACAATTAAAACAGTATTCACTATTTACATTGCCTAACAAGTTATCCAACTCCTTCTTGTTGGCAAAAATAAAATTACATGAGCGAGCTTACTGTGGGAGGAAGCTGGATTATCCAGAGAAAACCCACATGGTTGGGTAGAGGACAATTGAAAAATTACAGAATAAAATTTACACATACATGCACAATTATTCTACTCTTATGTTCTTTTGAAGATAACACTTTAAGGTGTCCTGCACAAAAATTATGACTTATCTAGATGGCTTGTTTCAGAGGATGCCTTGCTTTCAATGCATCTCATTTCTTAATTGACAATGTCCTCAAGTTACCCAACATATTACTGTTTTCTATCGAAAAAAAAATACTCTTTTCATTTGTGAACCTTGAAAACATGGAGTAAAAAACATGTACACATATAAATATTGTACATGTATTATTTTTTCCTGATGACTTGGGTCCTATTACAGTTGTGATTTTGTTAAAGGGAAGACAGACCAGCATATTAATTCACTTTACAAACTGAACAGTTATGTTTTACTTTTAATTAAATGAATTCAATCCTAATGATGGAATTTTCTTAACATTTCTGTATATTCTATAATCTGTCCATGCTTACCAGTCATTAGAACAAGTCATAAATTCTTCCCTGACTTTAGGATGCCAGCACCCTGAGTTCAACATTGCTGCATGTCCCTGAAATATATCATACAAAACCACCTATTAACAAACAGTGTCATTTAAGGAAGTGCCAGGTTTGGGTGGTGGAAAAAAGCTGGAGTTCCTGGAGGAAAACCACCTTTATGCAGTCAGTACCTGGAGACTGCCCCATGCATGACCACCATGCATGACCAATAGATGGAAGCCAGCCTAGTGATTGTGAGACAGCCTAAACCATTCAGCCATCACAACCCCCAAAGTATTGAGTGTCTAGGTGTATATCAGTACAAAGCTGGTATAAACCTTCATGTTTCTACTACCAAATCTAAACTGGGAGATGATCATGAATAATTTGGAACAGGTTTTTATCACTGAGGTCTGACACAGACTTCTAACATTCAAAGAACTAAACACTAAAAGTGTTCTATACAAAAATAAAACATTGTGATGAGTAAAAGTTAGCCTCTCTTTCAACTTTTTCTATACCTTTAGGTACCATACTGTTTATTTGGTTCAACAATAAATTCAGAGAGGACACAATTTTTGTATATTTCAGGTAATTGAAATTAAAACTTTTAATCAATTCATTATCTTTATAATTCTCCATGGTCACTCAAATTTATCATATTTACATGTTGCACATGTAAACTCTAGCTATTTGATTCCTACCTTTGTGTTTGCCATATCTAAGAGATATGGGTCTCCTTTTGCACACTCCATTTTCTCAAAACCATCCCTATCCAGCACTTTAGCTTTATTGTTACCAGAAACGACCAGTATGGTGTCACCAGTGGAACTATACTGTAGCTGCTTAATAGGATGACTGAGGGTTAAAACAAAGAAAATGACAACTTAACAACTTACGACAGTCATCACACAGAGAACAACAATCAAGGTAAAGTGATTCAACAAAATTTAAGAACATGCCCAATGGGCCTGTAATGCTCATATATTGATCTACGTTTTAGGCATGACACATTGTGACCTGTAAATTGGGTCAAAGTCAAATTTATTCTTTAAAAATATTGAAAGCAAGCAAACTAACATTATTACTAGTGCTCCTAATGAATTGTTGTTCAATGGTTTTAGCTCCTTCTTTCATGAATTCAAAGTTGGTCATTTATTTGAACAAAATTCACAGTAAAATACAAAATGCTTTTACGTTTGATTCTTATAATCATAAGAAACATTGTTTCATGTTTTTTTTCACACATTTCTTCATTGTGACCTTGACAATGGGCCAAGGTCATCTATTTGAACAAATTTGATAACCCTTCCTTCCAGTATGCTACATCCAAAAGACTTGGCCTTTTAGCATTGTACTTCTTCAAAATTATAATTGTTCATAAATTTTAACACAGTTACTGTAAAAGTGTGCCTTTGACTTTAACGGTAATATAACATTCTTGTACAACATATAAATGTCATTATCAGCTGTGTCACTATAGCAAGATCAATAAGGGTTGCTATCAGCACATGTAGATTGTCAATCATCAACAAAAAAATCTTCTGTAATCTGATTGGCTGACTTTGATTCAATGCTATGACTTCACAGAGATATTCTATTCTTCAATGTTAATTGTTCAATAATGCTTTTCCTTTTTTTTACTGTAGTAAAATCCTCAACATAACTATTATTAGTTTTCTTTGATAACACTTACCATTCACAAGGTCTGATTGACCTAAAAGACTGTAATGATGTGTCCATTCCAGCAAAATCCCAGAACTTCATTTCATAGTCAACACTTCCAGTCACCAGTCTTGCCCCTGATGGATCCAGTGCTAAGGCAGATACCTATCAGTACAACATACCATAGAGACTGGCTAAATGTAGTGTAAAAGTCAAGCAAAATTAAATATTTCTTTAGCAAAACAATATTCAGAATACTCTACCTCATAATATTTATGGTATAAAACAACAAAGCAACTTTTTGCAAAACATCAAAAATTATTACATGGCAAAGATGATAAACATTGTAATTGTTAATTGACACTGGTATTACATTAAAAAAAATGGATCTAGAATGATGTACTCACAGGTTTGACTCCATGGTTTAGTAATATTTCATGGCTGGATGGAATTTTACTGACCAAACTCTGAAAAAATCACATTTTATCATAAATCTTGTCACATATCTTCACATAGAATATATAATTTCTTGTAAAATAATTTTCAATCAGGATTCACATGAACATAAAAATTGCCTTAATATCAAGCTTTGATAAGAATATTCTTTATTATGCGAGGTTATGTTGTTTTCATGAAGGCAGGCTATGCATGTCACATCAATAGCATTATTTTCTGTATTTTGTTTCAACAACACAGTTCATATTCATGAAATATCCCTATAATGAAATCCATGCTTAATACCGTTTGATCATCATCTGATGAAAATATTTTAATAAACTACTCAGGAATGTAAGATAGTACTATCAAATCTTATAAAATGATTTACAACACATTCAGCAGGCTCATAAATTTACAATGTGCTGAAATGATATTTGAATTTTTTTTTATTTTTGAAACACTTGTAAGAAATCATTCTTTAATTAATTCTTTATAACTATCTCTTGATTTCATATATTTTAAACACATAAAGAAAGATAACTTTTCATTAATTTTCATTTACATGAATGAAGAAAATTCTATAAAAAAAAAACATCAACCATGTACCTTAATAATGCTTTAAAGTGAGATATTATGGTAAACTTTCATTTTTTTAAAATGCTGTATATCAACATTTGAATCCCTTTACACACCTCTTCTTCTTCATCCTCCTCACTGTCATCATCATCTGATTTTCCTCCTCCTCTAATATCAGGAGGTAGGGGTGGGCCTATCACCTCTTCCTCTTTGTCACTTCTCTTTGTATTACCTGAGACAAGCATATCAGGCGGAAGTGGAGGCCCTATATCATCCTCATCAGAGTCTGAACTTGCAGTCTTTTTCTTTGACAAAGTCTTCTTTTTCTTTGACTTAGATTTTTCATCTGAACTAGAAGAGTCTGAGTCAGAATCATCACTACTGTCACTACCAGAAGATGAACTAGATTCTTTTCTTGATTTTTCTTTCTTACTCACAGTCAACGTTTCGATATCTGGGGGTATGGAATCTATATTATCTGAAAAATAATACAATAAAAATTTAAAATAATTTTAACACTAACATATAACATGTCTAAACTACAATGGATGACATTGAATAACAAAATTTTCAGTGCACATACTATTTGGTACTTTTTAAGATCTGCCATTAAAATTTTTTGCTTTTAAATATTGATTTTCAGCCTGTATCAATGTTTGTATACAAACCCTTTGTCCTCTCAATGGCAGTTTGACGGGCTTCTTGAAACATGGCCATGAAGTCAAATGTACGTGCTTTCTTCTCCTTTCCTGTGGTAAATCATTATATAAATGTCATCTACATTTGTATATACATGTTAGTTCATCAACTGTTATTACAGTGTATTAAAAAATAACAAAATGAAAAATATCTTTGGAATGCTACTGCCCAAGATCTATTGTTCTCAAAACTTAATATCATGAATAATTCATTAGATAACATACTAACTAATGAAGGCAAGTTTTATGAAGTTCTGCTTCTCCAACCTATATTTTATGATAATTAACATTCATGCAAATCTTGATACAGCACTGACTAACCTGATGCTGTTATAGCAAAGATTTGTATTTCATAAGGAATTCTGATTCTTTACATGTGTTTTAGCCAAAACATAAAACACATTTGAAATTTTTATTGACTTTTTTACCAGAGCTTGCATACAAAAGGACGAATTTGCATTCCTTTTGATATAGAAGTGTTTTCTCTATTTTATGTCCTCCAACAAAATACACACCTTATTCAAACATATAATAAGCTACTGGTCAGATGTTTCATTATTAGATGTTATAGTGTGAAATGTCCCAATATATTGCCATATATATATTGTTAACCTCTACCATAATTAGAATATAACACAACAAACCCAATCAATTCCAAAGCATGTATTTTGCTGGATGTTTGGTTACTACAATGGAAAGTGTTAAATATCTTGCTCCTGGACAGCATTATTTGACAATAGCTAGATGATTCAAACCAACAAGTTAACATAACAATTTATATGTCTATCAGACAAATGTTAGAATACCAACAAACAGTATGCTATAATGTCCTAATACCAGCAAAGCCCTGGTTAGACTCTATTTATTCAGTAGTTACCTTGGGCATGGCTTTGACCAGTTGAAGATTTATTTGTTTCATCTTTGCTTTCAATATTACTTCTGCTATCTGGGGAAAAAAAAGAAAGAGTGTTTATTCTTAAATTTTTATTCTTTGTTCACTTTATTTTGCAGAGGTTAGCTTTGACATTTCGTATGCAGAGTGTGGATTGAGACTTTATATGACAGCAGATTAATGTTTGTTAAAATCTTTATAAATCTTACAATTATTGAGATAGTCTTCACATGATTAACTTATCAAACTGTGAAATGAAACAATGTTATTCTTTGGCAAAACATGTGCCAACATCCAGTGGTCTACTTATATTTACTGATCGCTTATCTTGTAATACAGAGTTGGGGCCTCAGGCTGGCATGCACATGATGTAACATTAAGATGTGAAAGAAATCACGCTACAGATAAATGCTTATCAATTGACATTATGTTTAAAATATGACGCTATCAACTGTTTACGATAGTCATTTATGGCCTGCCACCCATGTTTAATGTTGATGGAAATAGTGACCACATGAAGCTTTTCTTGTGATGCCAAGTAATGCCTTTCAGAAGTTAAATGTGCAGTCTCACGATACATTTGAACAAATTGAAATGAAAGTGAAACAAACTAGATTGGGTTTGAATTATCACTAGACAGAAAATTATTGTTTTCATTGACAGCACTATGATATTCTATACAAAGTACACCAACACATAAAACAATGTTCAGGTTCAATCTGATCCTAATGTGCTTTTTGATAAGTACTTATAATAAGACTCTCTTCTCTACCCTGGATAGTTAGAGCAACATCATTATATCTAGTTTGGTGTAAGATATATACAGATAGATGTGATCAAATCAGGACAATCCCAGTGCTCCACGTATGTCAGTACATGTACATGAGCTGGAAATCAAATATGTGTACTACATCCATATATGAAGAAGTTCTTTTTCATCTAAAAAAATTATCCTCTTCTTTCAGGTTACATAGTGTTATCAATAATGACTTTTATGCTCTGTTGTGCACAGGGGTGTTAGGGTAATGGGTTATTTACCATGATTTTATTATTAATAATTTACGATGGGTATATCAGATAAAAATGTCAAAAGGATAAAAACAACTGCTCTGGTTCACTAGAATGTGAGAGCTTTGACAACCACACAGTGGTTTTATGCTCTGAAATCCCCTAGTGCACATCTGCTGCAACAGGGAGGAGGTGTGATTGTATGTTTGAAGAAAGTGTATTGTATGTATCCTTTGTAGCAAATATGTATGACTGTCTATATGAGATAGGGTGTGCATGTAGCTGGGGTGAGGATGGAAGTGTTGTTGATTTTACAGAAAAAATTAACCTGGATGCAGTCTGTGTGTCTGTAGTATGTGTCATCCACTGAAGTTGGTGAAGTAAAATATTAATACAAGTGAACACATACAATGACCTATTTTGGTTATTATATGTAGGTCGCTATATGTATTCTCGGTTAATATCAACGCGGATGTCTATATACTGTGACAATAACTAGCATAGCTGATGGAACGGTAGAAGACTTTATTTATTTACAAACAATTAGAAAAACCAACAATGATTATTTGTGAACACAATGCCATCATTTCATACAATGCACATCATGAGGTTATAATGTTTGAACCAAAATAAACGCAAAGATATATAATATTCATGGATAATATTGTTCTTATATCGGACTTGAAAGAACGTTATGACAACGTCAGTTGAAAAGACTTCTTGAAAATCCGTTAAATAGGAAATAACATTACCAATTAATACAGTGGTCAGTGAACATGTAAAAATGCAACTGAGAAAACAATAACAACAATTATATATGATGAAAGAACAGCGTTGAAAGCATATTTTACCACGCAGTGATTTCATTTCTTCTGCGTCGTCCTCCATATTGCAAATCTCGGTCATATGAGCGTTTTACGGGACTGCTTAAAGAGAGAAGCGCTTCATGTACTTAGCAAGATTATGCAAAATTAGGAATGGCAAAAGAAAAGAAACAAAATCTCAGATGTAAATATTGCATGCACTAAAACAAGAAAACAGTCATCCAGTGTACGTGAAGAACAATCTCTTCATCACAATATAAGTTTATTTTAATAAAGCTCAAGTACTTGATAAGTCTGTTTAAAAAGCACGCGAAAATTAATAGATAGAAAGAGAATGAGAGAAGATGAAGAGAATCCGAAGTACAATGCTAAATACAAGTAGAAATCGAAAATTCATATATATGGTGTATTTCGTCGGTTAAATGCAACCAACAAAGAAATACCGACAATGTTAAATATATGTAAAGGTGAGCTGTAATGATGCATATTGTTAATCAAAATATCCTGTCAAGTGTTTTTTTAGGAGATCTCATTTCCCCAAATGTTCAGACACTTAATTGTAAACTGTTCCCTTCCTTGTTACGTATCCACTTCGTGCCTCGTGGCACATAAGGTCTTCACAAAGCTTCTTCATCTCTCCCGGTCTGCTGCCACTGTTTGTGCCATATCTCTCCTTTTCTGCCGTCCCCAACCATGTTGCTTTGGTCGTCCTCTTTTCCGTTTTCCTTCTGGCACCCATGTTAATGCACCATTGCAGTCATTGTCCTGCCTGATGATAAGATTAATCATTTTCCATCTGTGGCTTTTTATCTCCTCGCTTACTGGTTTCATCTTTGTTCCTTCCAATATGTCTTCTGTCCCTTGTGATCTTGGCACTGTACTCTGTAAATCTTTCTGAGGCACGTGTGGAAAACATCAACCAACTTGTCATGCCTTCATTCATTTTCCACGTCTCACATCTGTATAATAAAACTGGTATTACTTATGTTTTGTATAGATAAGTTTTGTGAGATGTTATTTGAGTTCCAAACATGTTTCAGACAGAAATCTAAAACTCAGATATATGTTATATTTGCCATATGTAGCATTCCTTCCTCCACTGCACATCTCGGCGCTTCTAGATGCTGCCCTCGGGATGTGTTGAAGCGGACCATCATTCATATTTAGCTCCTTCAACATTAGCATTTTCTGTTTTATTGACAACAATCGTCCTACCGGCCATGATAACCAAACTAAAAAGTATTGAGCCGACAATGTTAAATATATATAAAGGTAAGCGGTAATAATGTACAATGCATATTGTTATTCAAAATGTCGCGCCAAGTGTTTTTAGGAGGCCGCATATTCCCACATGTTAGACATGTGCTTGTAAACTGTTCTTTACTAAATCCCTGTACATCCACTTTCACATATATCTAGCGCCTATCGCTCACAAGAATAAACCTAATTAAAGAGAGCAATATCATGACCGACACTTATCTCGACCGATTTCACAGTGTAGTCAACAGGGATTGTATCTATTGTAAATTTTCTTGAGAACAGCAATCTTGTTTTCTCAAAACGTGTCATTCAAATATGGCCGCTTATTAGATATTCAATAGAATAGAAGCATTACGATTTGATTTTTGAGAAATTGCTACCATTCCACGAATAACGTGACTTCCATCGCAGATGCCAAATACTGACGGAAGTCTTTCAAAGGTTCCGAGTGATGCAATTTAATGTTGGAGACCGAAAACAAGTTTGATAACGCCATTATTTTATTTGAACTCATGTACTTTCCCTGTTTAGACTTTAGAACGTAACATTACTAACTTTAACTAATATTTACATGTCGGCTGTCGTAAATGAAGGACCTCTTCCGGAATATCTGGTTTTATTCTCTCCGTACTTTTGCTCAGGCATATTCATATACTGGAATCAGTATGTCTGTCTGTCTGTCTGTCTGTCTGTCTGCTGTCTGTCTGTCTGCTGTCTGTCTGTCCGCCCGTAGACGATTTTGTACCGCCTGCTCATCAGAAGATTAATAATTAATTTCGAAGAAATATGTATCAGACGAAATTGTGTCTTTACGAATAACATTTATATGTTTCATCAATTTTCACCAACACTTGCCCTCGATACCTTTGTGCATGACAAAATTAATGCGTTATTTGTTCTATATAGTTTTACGCTTGGGTATTCATGAACTATTTGACAACTATTATGCAATATGTAATCTTGCAGCACTGCAGACATACTTATGTTTGTAACAAGTGCTCATCTGTCTTTTTTAGCCAGAGTTATGCACCTCGACATTTTTACAAGTTTCCCCATTCCTTATAGGGGCTAATAACAGTCAGCATGCGGGGATGTTAAAGTTAGCCCTTAGGCGACAGTTATACTTTGACCTAGTTTCGTCGAATTAGTTGATATATTGATATATTGTTGTTATTTTTGATACACATAATCGTCTAATATTTGTTGACAATATTAATTTTATGTAACAATAAGTAATATATTAATGTTTCCAGGCGTACTCCACCTTTATCCCTTTACTACATGTCCAGCCTATAAACAAACCAACCACCTCATATATTAATCCCTTTCATAACATATACACTGGTCAGGCGAAACCAACTTCCATTTTGATATAAATTAATAGATATTAGTTAAGCAACACCAGCCTTCGCTCTAGCAGAGACGTATATATATGTGTTATATACGTCTCTGGCTCTAGTATGATTTAACCACTTCAAATATTTATTGGTTTGTTGAGACCGACCTGCTTTCTGTAATATCGAAAGCGTCTGATTTACTTCAGATGAAGCTAAACTAACAAGCCCTTCTCTTCAATGTGACTCTGAAGTTGTCATTCCCAAACAATAATAAATGAAAATACGATGGCGCTATATACACAGTATGTTAATGTACTTAATTATAAAGTATTCGTTATGTAGTAATCGTCGAATATATGTTTATAATAATAATTTGATATGATATCAGCGTGCCTATTGTGAATGAAAAAATAAGCACCGTTTTCTGAGAATGTTACATAATTGTCTTCGTATTTATTAAATCATCCTTTATCTAAGCCTCCCCTTCCGTTAAATCTCCTCTGACTTAACATTATCCCCGACTTCAATTGATGCGGCCGGAAGGACTAATTTTCTTTAAAATAACGCAATGAAACCCTCTGGCCGGCTACTTAAATTATAAAATCGTTTTCGATAATTTTTATTGCACAATATCTTGTAATAAACAACACCAAGCTCTGTGTAATGTTTTAAACGTACAGCAAACTACTGCCTTTTGAGAGATTCGTAACTTGTTATCACACCATTGCCAGGTATGAGTGAAATAATTGAAGATTAATTAAATTTCATGTCAGGTATGGATGAATTGTACCTGTGTTTGGGCAGTCTTTCATACCAATTACTTTCTGTAGTGATATGCAACTGAAATAGATTATGTCTAAATGTAGCAGAATCACAATTGAAATGAAGCGAAGCGAACAACCACAATACGCGATGTCTTTGATTGTCACCATCAATAGCGATACAAATCTCTCTAGCATATTATACATTGTCAGCGGGATACAAAAGGCAAGGCGATTCATTTTATGAAGCTCTTGCCGGACAAAGAATGGAATCTGTTTTATTTGACTGCGATAGGCTTCTAGAGAGTAGAGAAAGTATCCGATGATTTTTTTGTTATTGTTGTCATGTGATTTCTGTAATAGTTAAAACACGTGTTAGGTATTGGAAATGTCAGACACGGGAAGACATTAAATATCTATTCGTTAATTCCATGCCAAGAAATTGTTATTTTGTCAATTGTTTGACAATGGCGGAAAGGTCTGGTCACGTGGCATTTTGCTGAGGTCACGGGTTAGAAGGGAAGCGGACAGGCGTCGTACTTGACATCACAACAAATCGAAGATTTTGAATTAGAATATAATTTGATTTAAATCTGGCATGTGCAAATGTTTTGTCGATACGGTTTCCGGATCAGGTAATGGAAATATTTTTAAAACTTCCGGTCGATTTTGTAAGGAACGTGTCGTCTGCTTTGTGAATGATGTTGTTGAGAAAACCACATACGTTGCTTTTGAGCTTTTTTGACTAATTTATTTCTTAACATGATTGGGATCGATTTCAATATAAATCCAAATGTAATTAATTAAGTCATATATATAACCATATCTATTAAATAGTCATTTTACTATTTTACCAAATATTTGGTTCTTTGTATTTAACAAATATTAAATACACGGTTCAAGTTAGTTACGTCACTCAGAACTGTTTTATGAATCTGAATAAAATATATTATCTATGATAAACAGCTGCATGTATTTGTTCCTTATGAACACTTCTGGACGCCTTTAGTTACAACCTCGGCGTTACATCTATACACTCAACAGGAGAAAAAGGCCAGTAAAATATAGGACTGAAACCGGACTTGTCATTCTTGATAGGAGAATATTTAAACACACTTACCAATAATTGTCTTTCAATCGAATAAAATAAATCTAGTGTCAAAACGTTCATAAATGCATCGTCATTTAAAAAATAATCACACATTTGAAAAAAAAAGAGTTGCTTTGACTAGTCAGTAAAAAAATCACACTGTTTTACGAACCCATCGAAATATCTACCTGTGTAAAATAATTGATGATGAATGTTTTTCGGTTTCTGCTTTTAATAATCAATAGTTTCCATCCAACATTTTGACATCTTCTGATAGGTTTACACAATCTTTATTACGGGTTCTATCATAAATCAACAAAACAATTGATACAAATAAAATATCGTTTCAAACAAACAACCCAACAATGACCGAGCAGTTTGTAAATAGTAAATCTTCGAGACTGAAGGTGGTAAACACTGAATGTGGTGGACCTGCATGTCACTTTTTGATTCGTACGAATTGTGGCATGGTTCTGAATTTACACGTGTACTTAACGTTCTTTAATTGTTAACAGAGATATAATAATGAAATTGCGAAACTTATTTAATTATCGCTAGTGTACCTCCCCATCTAGATTTTGACACTTCCTTCGATCACCTTGGAGTTTCTTCATCCGCCTCCAAGATTTCCAAATTTAGGCCCTCAACATTACTAACGATTTCAATAAAAACAACGGAGAGTTTGGCTCTACTGTATCTATCTCTAAAGCTGTATTTAAAGGCGTTATTCACCTGTCTGTCCTTGATACAAACCCCTCATTCTTTGGCTATTTGTCCTCCAAGCTCTATGCAGCGCAATCTAACAGTCTTGATATATCAATTTTAACACATTTTTAATGTAGACATGTACAACGTTAGATACAGGTGTGAAGTGTATGTTTTACTTGATAAAACTTTCATTAAAGGATATGAAGAATGTAGTTAATACGGTCGACGAACTCTCACTACAATACAAGTCTTTATTTGTCCTTTATATAAACTATTAATTGCTTGATGTAGATGACCTTTCACATTATGACTCGACAATATGTCTATCTTATATATATATCTCAACGGAAACTTACATATAAGAGGTCACGGTATGATCTTGATGAGTAGACATCGAATCCATAGGAACATACACCAGAAGTACTGTTTACAAGGAGGATAATCAACCAACGTACATATCTAGCTAGGTCTCAAAGCGTCCGGTTGACCCCCTTTTCCAAGTAACCATATACAATAGTGTTTTCATAACAAGAAAATCACACGATATGTTAGTAATAAATAATTATCAACAGATCGGCAGCTGCGAAGAGCTGAAAAATCATCAATTTTCTTCCGTTTCATATGTTTAGGAAATACAGTGTATATAAAATAATTATTGATAATAAATCTTTTGTATCCATTTGCTCATTAGATTTGATATTTTTCAATGTCTTGTAGACACACTATTCATGTTTCATTAGATGAACTTACTACAATTACAGATACCGTTTGACGTGCTTTGATCTTGTACTGAAACCGCCCATCCTTTACTCCAAATTCTGCGAACCACAGACATAAATACCGAACAGGAAGGCATACAACCAAAATTCGATCCAGTAAAGGTAAAGACGTATATAATGAAATCTTTCACATGGTAAGGTGAGAAAATGAAATGTTCATTGACACTTTCATTAAATTTCAATCCTTTATTTGCGCAAGTTTATAGCTTATAGTTATTAAATCAAAATCTAAAGGGGATATACCTATATACACGTTATCATTAGATATACACATCATGACGTCGACATCATCCACAGAATTGTTGACATGCGCTCTTTTAATATCTACAAGCTTATTGAGGTCAGGAATAAGTTATTCAAATAGGTATCTTCAATTAAGAACTTAATCGCTAAGAAAAAAATCCATTCAAATTAAATACTGATATTTGACAATTATCTGACGGGTGAGTATTCGTTTATTTAATTTAAATTAGTCTTTTCGTATATTCTACAAGCAAAGTGATAAGACGGGACTTTTTTAATTCAAACTTAGAATGTACAAAAGAAACACAAATGAAGAACTGAGACCCTTAGATAACTTGAGTACCAACTTTGATATTAGCCTCTGGTATTATATCCTCGCGGACCATTCTAGTTCCATTTCTTCACTCACTAGAAGTTAATGTAATTATAGTGAAAGGATCTTCTATGTGAAGCACGCAAGATTCCTTTTGCTCTAGTGTTTTGTTGTATCACGTAAGAATCCTAAAACGAATGTAACACCTGTTATCTGTGTTGTTTTATAAGGTTGACACATTGTGGCCGTCTCTAGCTGTATGTTCTAATCTTTTCAATTGTGACGGTAAAACGTTATGTTGGTTACGTCATCAATAAAAAATGTTTATATTTTCAGAGTTCTCATTAACAACAATATCATAAATATTGACTGAAAAGCCTTCGTCACGTTTGTTGATACAATCGTGTTACTATTTCGATTGCATTTGAAATTCATGTAATAAATCACCAAGTTTTCGTCACAGCCACCAAAATGCAAAAATCTTGATAAAAAAGAAAACTACCATCTATAAATAAGATTCAAACAAACGATTAGACACTAGAAAAGACCAGGAACCCGCGAAAAAACGAACCAAAAGACATCAAGAACTAAAGAAAAGAGAGGTGTAATTTGGTGCTCAGGCACCACGTGATATACCCGTGATGAGATGTCCCCAATGAAGTCCGGTTAATATGCAATGGATTTTGCAGGAGGAAATTAAGGCTTTGTATCAGAAGTGATATGAATTTATATTTTCAAAATAATAAAAGGAATGTTGAAGGGTTCGGAAGCAGATCTTGTGATTCCTAATCCGATTAAGTATTTGATATAAATTAGAAGTAAATAAAGAGAAGTGGTTTAGCTGTCCGCCCTGTTCTTTGTTTCACTGGGAACCTTCTACACTTCAATCCTTCTTAAGTACCACTTTGAGCGTAGGGGAACAACTAGCCAACATACAATACACGGATACGCGACGTGCTGAAGTTGACCATTTCCGGAAAATTCTCGTTGATAAGAGATTCAAATATCAAACATATAATAATTTCGCGTCATCATACTCTCGCTACTGGAGAGGAAAACTAAATCCGCGAATAAGCGCGAGCCCCGATGAGTCACGTGGGCGGTCGCTCATTTGTTTCCGCATCTATGGGGACTGGATGAAGCCGGTGATTCGTCAGTACATACTTTAGAAAGTGATAGTGTTTTACACGGAACTTACACAGGGAAACCTACAGGTAAATATTGTTTTATAAAATATCTGCAAATATTCAATGTTTCCTTTTAACTAAATTGATAAATTCATCTTTTTTTTCTTAAATTTAAATATATTGTTGATATCTTTCATATGTGCAATTTATTAAAAACAATTATTTCCGTAAAAAAACATTGATTGGGAGTTCCAATGATACTTTGAAGGATTAAAGTACAACAATATATTGGGTGTCTATATCAAATCAATTTTTATAAAAAGATAATGCAGTACGTTTTGTTTCAATATTGTTTATAATATTGTGTTTTATAAGTAAGTTAACATTGCAAGAATGTTTTCGTACTTCTATATCGTCACGCTCTCATGTTGTGCAACTTTGATGCACGCGGAATTCCTTGTATGTTTATTTACGCGATGGAATAGATATACTCACAGAACGACACAGAGGGACGATTGTCGACTGCGAGGGGGATGTTGGGAGGGAGGGGAGGGGGTGGTGGAGTGTTACTGAGTGTCATGACAGGCTCAAGCCCTGAGAAAGGTGATGATGTAAAGTATACTGCAATGTACATCAATACATCAATCAAAAGTTAAGCCGACGGCAGACGTTAAAGACCGTTTGACAAGCAACGTATCTTATTTCTTAAATCTGCAAATAAACAGAAAATAATAAAACACATTTTCTTTATACATTCTGTTTGTAATAGAAATTCCAGGATCGTATTCAGTGATTTTTTGCATTTACTGAATGTTGCAGGTGGTAAGGGGCGGGGCAGTGTGTTTGCAAATTTTAATCTCGGAACAAATATTGTCAATTATTGCCTCTTAAAATACAGCTTTTATCTACTTGTTGTCAAGTGGCAGGCGAAAACGTCGAATGCCCGCTATGCTAATTTGCTTGTTAGATAGAATCTAACCTCGGCACAAGATTCTGTTACAGTTTTTATCCAGACCGATTTCTCTTGAAGAGACCGTAAATATGCGATAGTAATCGTAGATAGCAACCACAAAGGAGAAAAGAACTGAAAATTCTGATAGGTGTTTAAACAATTGAAAATCGCTATTCAATTATTCAAGGTTTATTAATTAGATGTTGATCCGCAAGACTAATGACAGTAATATTTCATTTAATGATAATACAGAGGATATTTTCTTGAGCATGTCTTCACGTGTTTCACTCGATAATTTTACAGGATTGTTAATTGGAATGGTAGAACCTGATTTCTGATGTAATTTCTGTATACCAACACCATCTCTCGTTCTTTTTTCCCATTTACATTGGTCCTACGTCTAACACCTCGGTTTAAATATTTGACAATTACAAGAAGTATTTTGGCAGATTTACAAATAACACTTAACTTAAGATAAGGTCGACATCGTGCACACGTGAATGAGACAAAGTAGAAAGTATGGATAACGAACACGCTCATACAATTTGCTGCAATTAGTTTTCCTTTTGATAGATATATAAAATCTATATTCGTTATCATGTAGATTTTAGATTGACATTGACAATTGAAATTATAATACATTTGTGAAAGAAAGTATTGTAGATCATTAATGTATGTCAAATATAGAGCATTAAAGGTATTTGATAAATTTAATATATTGGTAGCTGCTTATTATTTAATTCATTTCAATTTTCAACAATTTACAAAAAAGTTCTTTGCATATATTGAGTAAATCAGCGTTGTATTTAATGCTTTAAAACATAGCCTTGCTAATATTTTATGCCCATGTTTAAACAAAGAAACTTTCAATGTAATAAATATTCAAAACATTTATCAGTATTTTTTATATATATTTGTTCTCTAACATTAATAAATCTAAGTATTCGGTATACCACGTATGGTTTAGCATAACTTCATAAAGAATTTATCATAACGAGATGTTGATAAAAAGAAATGTGCTTTCTTTCCTGAATTTCTTTCGAAATAATTACACGGATATCAGTAAAAACATTAAAACGTTCACATGATACTGTTTCTGGTATCCTAGGTGATGATACATAATATATCGATATTTCAGGAAAAATACATACTTCTCTTTAGTGTTTGAATGTCTTTACAAAAATGTGCGGAAACTTTCCCATAGAAAATGTTCAAGATAAAAGTCATATCTTATGTAAGGTCAACAGGGAAAATACTTATGGAATGATACAAATTATTTAGTTAAAACAACACATAGAAAATGTCCGTCATCAGCCCAAAGCTGACTTGTTTTGACACATAGCTATACAGCCCGTTTGTCGCCACTAAGGCGTTTTACGTGTAATGCTAAAAAAACGAGCAAATCATCACAGCACTTTATCTGTAAAATGCCCTGCTTGTTTATAAACTTAGCTTTTTTAAGTGATATTCTGTCTTCATTCCTATACCAGTATATCGATACAGATGTCAATCATATGAGAAAGTTGTGTAACATACTAGCCACGTAAAAAACTTGCGAACATGTATTTCTTCCCAGACAAACAGTAAGTCCATTTTTCGAGTAGGTAATCTGAGATGATATGAAAAGAAACGATTGATGAGATAATGTTCGGTATGATGACGTTCACAAGTATCCATTTTACAAACCTAGACTGTTCCATGTAATTAAAACATTAATATGTTACTTGTGGCTCCATTTTGTAACAATAAAGTTTCACCTCCTCTGCTTTGTGGTGATTCATACAAAAATATCAGTACCAGACATCGCTAACTTTGTGGACATCTTACAACTATAAACTAAAAGTTGTTGTTACCATATTGCATCTCTAAATCTTTATTGTCAAATACTGTGTAACTTTGGTTTAGATACAGTATATATACATTGTATACTTAAACCATAAGTATGCACTTTAAACCAAACTCCATATAAACTGAACTTTGCAAGTCTTGTTTGAATTTTGATTAAAAGCCATCTTTTAAGAGAAAACTGGTTTTACTCGCATTTAGGTCAAAAACACATCTGTTAATGTGGTCTCATAAAGCAGTAACTTTCTCTGAAAAAATCTCAGCAATGAATGTAATTCAAGAGCAATGAGTTTACGGAACAATGATGTTTGTTACACATGTTAATCGGTTAATAACAATAGCCTGTTGTCTGTATTTAACAGTTTATATTTGAAACAGGAACAAGAAGAACTGAATATCTTCACTTAAACCAGTTGTATCAAGCCAGTGTCAACAATTTGAAGCTTGTATAACATTAAGAGACCTTATCATTGGTGTTGATTTCTATATGAAGTTCCAAACCTCTTTGCTGAGATATCAAAACGAAAATAGTTTCTATCCGTCTCCTTTTGTAAAAGCAAAAATAAAAATAAACAGCCATAGGTTATATTAAACACTTGTATGCATCTGACATCTACATATGAAAGACAAATAACATTTGCAATTGTATAAGATGATGCAAAAAAACTTTCAATAAAAAAACATAAGACATAAACATGTACTGAGAAGGTTAAATGCTCATCGATTCGATAAAAAGTTTATGTTGCTCTGATATCTACTCCTATTTCTATTCATTTCATCTTTAAAATGTTTGACCACACTTTCTGGAAAGAAAAAAAAATATGTTTGCTTATAAAAATTGCTATGATGGATGGGGAAATGGTGTTTTTTTGTTTCTGCAAATCTTATCACTTCTCCTTAAAACAATAAACAATGACGCTGATGTTTAACTTTGCTTCATTATTTGATAGTTAATAAAAATATATTAAGAATCATTTTGAAGGTTTTCTTCCCTGTTCTATTTGAAATAATTCACACTAATTTGATAAGCTCTTTATAGCTTAAAACGAAATTCGTTTTACATCATCATTCCTATCTATCATCACTGGGTAACCACTGAAGTAAGGGTTTGGCCCGAAACAATTTCAAGATTTGAAGATTAAAAGACAAAAAGCACAAAATAAAAACACAAAATTAACAAAGTAAAACGGAAGAAAATACCCATGAACAATAAAATAGAATTATATTTAAAGAGATTTGTTTAAATACAGGATACAAAGTACTGTAAGATAATGAACAATGATAATTTGAAACATAGACACGCTCTTTTTCTATAAATAGATCGAGCAAATATGTAATGTACTTTAAACACCTTTGCCCCACTTCAAATTTTTCTGACCCTTCATTATATGACAGTAAAATTGTAAACATATATTAGCATGTGTACTGTATTTTATCTAAAAGTATATTTCACTTAATCAGCATGTTAGGACAAAAACGGAACTTGTGCATCATACATTATATAATGAGTTGTAAACATACATCCTCCCACCTATAATGAATCAGACCATAAGAACAAAAGTCAATGGTGCTTAATCTAAACTTTATGTATACTATTTGCATCAAGCTATTTCCATACAATCTTAATTTACTGGTATTTAAAATTAGCACAAATATAGTATGTGTAATCTGTATTTAGCCTGCAGGACTTATCAGTCTGGCATGAAAATTTAATAAAAAAAACAATCATCTGGATATTTCATTACTGTGTATACGTCTCTAACAATATATTCATGGATGATAGAATATTTCAGACAGTCCTTTAATTACTTACACAAATCCAGAATCGTGTCGTTTTATTTCTGTTATGGAAGGTAATGCTGTCTTGATGATGTCTTTTTTTGTTAAACAATCAAACACGGATCGTTAGATTCTTACATATTTATGAACAATAAAATTCATGTCAACGTTTTTAAATTAAAAAAAAAAAAATCATATTAAAAAAAAAATTTCGGAAAACAATAGCATAGGAACTAAGTAACCAAAAGTGTGTTTTAACAATAATAAAAATCAGATAACATTGACACGAGTTTTGTAGGAGAAAATATTTTTTCTATAATAGATACTAAAAAGAATTGTTAGAGTGTTGAATGTCAATTACAATCAATTTCAGTTTGTGTGTCCATATTGCACGTGGCAACGACAGGGATTTTCACCCTTCCTGTGCTCTCACAGTTAGATCCGCTAACAACACACGTGCATGCAAGTCATGCAAGTATGGTTAGATTGTTTGGTTAAAATAAATGTAACC